GTAAAAAGTGGCGTACGCAAGTTTCTGGGCTCATATTGTGCGTACGCAAGTTTTATAAGTCCGACCCCAGGTGAGTTAATTATCTGCTGTGTGCAACGTTCGCTTGCTGTTTAGTAAATAAATCAAAGCCATTTTCTTTATTTTATCTTTATTTCACCCGCCGAGGGCAGACGCTCTTCCTCCCACACCCCGCTGCCGCAGCTGCTGCTGCTTCTCGTTCTGGTCTGTTCAGCATCAAGATGCGTGCGTTTTGAGATTTTTGGAGGCGCGCAACGCGTTTGGTGTAAACGTAGCATTAGTCAAACTAGTTTAAGGGGCTTAAGCTGCACAAAGTCCTAGTCATAAAACAATTTAAGATAACTGGAAGGTAAGTATGGTGAAGCCAAATAAATGTAATTTCTGCCTGCCATACATGAGCTTTTGCCTGCTGAACTGACCYGCTGCTCTATTGCGCTCTCATCTTCATCATTAGAGCAGAAACAGACTTTACATTAGCAAGATGGATTTATGACTGAACAAACATCCACATCTTTATCATCTCTGGGTAACAATACATATAAACCACATTTTTTTCTCCAACAACTTGGGTGTAAAAAACCTATGGTTGTTAAAGCTTCGCTCAGCTTGACGTGCAGTGGGAGGGAGGAAATTATCCTGCAACACGAAAACTTTTCTGTAGCGGGAGGGGGAAATTTTGAGGATTTATTCTCTCTATGCGTGTTTTAAAACGCTACATTTCTTCATTATACTGTATTTCTAACTCCTCCTGCTCAGTTGTCTCTGCACTCGCCGCCCTGTTGACACAGGTGTGATGACGTAATTGACGACAGGACGGTAGAGGGTCAATTTCTACTAATTGTCTATCGCATATACCGCGYAGCCCTAGATGTAACTAAGGTCTATGATGTGAGGTTGCTGCAGTTGGTCAAGTTCAGGTTCAGCAACAGTTTGTGCTCAAAGAATGAGGTCAGCTGACCTGAATATACTGAATGACCAGGTTATTATTTCATCAATGGATTGTTTCTTCCCTGATGCCACGGCCATATTCCAAGATGACAATGTCAGGATTCATGGGGCTGGAACTGTGAAAGAGTGATTCAGGGAGCATGAGACATCATTTTCACACCTGGATTGGCTCCAGAGGCCATTGAGAATCTCTGGGATATGCTGGAGAAGGTCAGACTACCATCATCAGTGTAAGATCTTGGTAAAAAAAAAATGAATGTATTGTGAATGTGTGCTGTAATCAAAGCTAAAGGTGATCCAACCCTTTTTTTGGTGGTGACCTTTTTTTTAGCCAGGTGGTGTAGAAGTGTTCACTAGCATTGCTTTATTTTATTGTCTCTGCAGTTACTTGTTGGTTTGGTGATACCAGATTTAGTTTGTAAGCACACATGTGGGGTGTTGGTAGCTCAGTTGATGCCTTGTGAGTTATCATAATGAGAAGCTTGTTTTTGGAGCTACAGTACATCATGAAACTGATCAAACAGCCTATATGCATTTTATGACTATAATACAAAAATAAATTGGCAGCACAGCTTTGTATAGGAAATTAGCTTTTATTAACAACCATTCTAATTTCATTTAAACAATGGTCCTCATGCAAGAACRTGTTCRTATTTTTATCCTAAATTTCTCTTACTTTTGTTCGTACAAAGGGTTCATACGAACATGCCACATCAGATTCAACAAACTCTTCTATCTTCAGGAAAAGTGTGTAAATGAGCTGCGTAATTT